TTAATACTAAACTCATATGTATCTTTCACATGCATTTGAATTTATTAATACGACTTTACATATAGTGCAGATATTGGAGAAGAAAGTATCTCAAGTTTCATATATGATTTTACTACTAGCATTCCAAATTTAATGGTGAGGACTTCTACTGTATCATATATGTTTTTAGGCATGTTTGTTTCAGGTTCACTCCATATATATATAATTATATATACATACATACATGCACACACACACAGATATATATATATATATATATATATATATATATATATATATATATATATATATATATATATATATATATATATATATATATATATATATATATCCAACCAAAGACAGCATTATCCAGCTTTGCTTCAAACAAATTCAAGGCTGGTGTTGGGTAAACAGGAACAAGAAATGGCTTATTAATGATGAAGACTTCACAACGTGGGGGATCAAGGACTTCTGGAGAAATGGAAAGCGTTTAGTTCTTCATTTTTTATTTTGGTGTTTGTCTTTTTCTCTCTTTTTTGCCATCATGTTTGTAACCGGCTGACTCTCTTTTAATAAAGTTCCCTTGTTAAAAAAAACAGGGGAACTGTATTAAAAGAGAAAGGAATCAGGCGGTTACAAACATGATGGAAAAAAAGAGAGAAAGACAAACACCGAAATCAAAAATTAAGAACTAAACGCTTTCTATTTCTCCAGAAGTCCTTGATCCCCCACGTTGTGAAGTCTTCATCCTTAATGAGCCATTTCTTGTTCCTATTTACTCAACACCAGCCTTGAATTTGTTTGAAGCAAAGCTGGATAATGTCGTCTTTGGTTGGAGCTTTCTCTTCATAAATGAATGCATTTCTTGCTTTCCAAATATTCCAAGCGATAATCCCTGGTAGAATTAGTCGCAGACAACCTTTGAAGTTCTTCTCATTTCCAGTAACCCACCAAGCTATCATATGCTGGTGAAGAGTAAGACCCTTCCGTACAGTGGGGCCCATAACAAAGGAGCTAAAGTAGTGCCAAACTTGTGTACTAAGGGAGCAATGAAGTAGGGAGTGGTCCAATGAGTCTTCATCCCTTCTGCAGAGAGTGCAACAACTAGGGAGGGAGTAGCCAAATCTTCGCAAGTTGTGAGGGAAGGGTAAGGCTTCGTTTAGAACTCTCCATTGAAACATCTTAAGCTTGGGGATTTGAGTCTTGTGCCAAATGTACTTGCTGGAGGTCAAATTTGGGTAGCCCATTTCCCCCATTATGAAAGCTCTCTTGAGGGTGAATGAACCACCATCCCATGACATTCCCATCTCATCTCTGGAACTGTAGGTCTCTCCAATGTCATTGATTCTTCTGATTCTCTTCCAAACATGGGAGCCTGTTATCCTTTCCTTGATAGTGCCTGACTTCAAGAGTTCAAGTATTTACCTCTCATGAAAGAAGCCCAAATGCCTTGGTCATTATGGATCTTCCACCATAGCTTTAAGCAGTAAGCTTCTTGAAGTCTTTCAATGTTTTTGAGGCCCAAACCCCCTACCTCAGTAGGTTTACCTTGCTTCTGCCCCCAAAAGAAGTTGGCCATGGAGTTCAGGGCATTGATGATGGATTTAGGGATGGTGTGGACAGCCATAATATGTAATGGGATAGAGGAGAGGACATGTTTGATAAGGATCAACCTCTCCATTTGGTTAATGGTCTTGCTATACTAAGAATCGATGTGCTTGAAGAAATGATCCATCAACCTTGTACAGTGTTCCTTCTTGAGTTTCCTTTTACAGATATTGGCCCTCAGGTAGGTAAAAGGGAGGTTTCCACACTTCATGCCTAGAGCTTTTTCCATGTTATGAATAATGCTTGGAGGTGTCTTACTGCTGGTGCTCTGCTTTTTGGGCAATTTATTTCCTGTCCAGAGGCAAGGAGATATCCTGAAAGGGCCTTCCTTAGTTTGAGCAGATTCCTGGTTTCTCCCTTGGTAAAAATCATGAGGTCATCTGCATAAACCAGGTGACTAGCAAATTTCACACTCCCATCATTGTCCATGTAGTGTGGTTAAGTAGCCTGCTGAGACCTTCTGCTCCTAAGATGAAAAGGAGAGGGGAAAGGGAGTCCCCTTGCTTGACACCCCTTGTCATTTGGAAGAAGCCAGTTGGCTCCCCATTGATGATGATGCTGAAATGAGTACCTTTGAGGTTTGCCATAAGGGATGAATATTGAGTTGCTGGAGAAGCCAAAGGCAGTAAGCAGTGCTTCTAGATATTTCCAGTCCATTCTGTCAAAAGCTTTTGCCATATCTATCTTAATAAGCAGGTTCTCACCAAATACCTTCTTATCAAGTAGGTGGACAGCCTCTTCAGCCATAAGAATGTTTTCATGAATGGATTTGCTGATATACCCCCGGTACCTACGAAAGTCCTTAAACAAATTACCGGATTAATGACTAAATCCTACGATCCTTTTTGGAATGAATTTACCCCTCCTAAACCCAAACCCTTAGCCATAATTTCATTGGATTTTTCCTCACCCTAAAATAAACCCAAACAACCTGTTCTCTTTCTTTACTGCCCAGGCTGTACCCCCTTACCCCCACCCTTTCTCATCAAAAAAACACACCCCATTAAACTCACCAAAATGACCCACAAATATTTCATCCTTTTCCCTTCAATTCTGGCCGAAACACAAGAGCCAAAACAACACATATCATCCCCATAATAAACCCCAACACATGGACCCCCTTTGTTCCCTACCCAAACAGCATACACACCCTCCATTTTAACCACCAAATAAGCCCTACAACTACACTCCAAAGCTAAGAATAAAACATCCCATTTGTTGAGATGTGTGGGACGTATAAACCCATCACAAACAACCA